TGGTAGAACCTTCAGGAACATATGTTCCAACCAGTATAGCTCGGTTGGGTCGCCATGATAAGCAAGTCCGACCACCAAGTCAGGTAGAAGCTACGGTCGGGGCGTATGCGTTAACGACCTCATCCCGTAGAAAACAACAACTTGCAATACAAAAAAACCCACTAATAATTGGGCTTGAAGACTACTAACACTAGAACACAGAAGAGACGGTCAATAACTTACTACGACTATGTGAATGAATGTTTAAAGAGTATGTATTGATCTGAAAGTTGAGATCATTAGAATTTGAGTGCCGACAAAGAGTGGATGGATGCATCTGCGCTATTGTAAACGATTTTGAGCTATATCATTCAAGGTTTCTAACTACTATCAGTTACTATTGTCTCTTAAGCCCCAAACAGATAGGTAGTCTACGGAACCAACATGGCTTAGTTCAGTCGTAAGTGACTTTATGAATGTCTTGGTTTGGTCACCCAGCATACACGAACAATGATTATAAGACACCTATGATCGAATACTAGCAACCTTTGAGTATCGTCTACTTTTACCAACCAGATAATACATCACAAACAAAAGATATAAAAAAAATAATTCAGTCATCGATGATACACATACTGTGGTGTGTGCTACTTATACGAACGATATAAGTAGTATAAGAAGGGACGTGAAAGAAGAAGTCTCACGGTCAGAAGAGGAAAATGGAAAGCAAATGGAGCAAAAGCAAGAAGTAAATGGAGTAGTATCAACAGGAAGGAAAGGAAGCAACAGCAAGAATGGAGGAAGGAAGGATGGAGCGTTGGAAGTCACGACTCAAAGATGGTGTGCAAATAGAGTGGTGTTCAATGTAATGTTTTCGTTTTTAATTGACTAAGAGTGTAAATTTGCATAATACACAATCTTCCGCGCCTACCTCAGTCTTCTCAATACTATTCAAAACCAAAATATTCGCTTTGTTCAAAGTTGTGTGTTGTACAATATATTGTAACGATTATGTTTTTTTCATACATGAACACACACTACTAATATTACTACTTACTAATAGAAACTGAACGACCGAATCGCTTGATAAATCGAAACCTAAACAAATAGAAAAGATATATTGCAAAAAGAATGAAACACAATCAAAGCATAAAATAAGTGGGATTATTGATCGGGGAACATGAAACGTTGATGAGTTAAAAACAACAGAAATCGATATAGAGCACATGGATTCAACAAATATATTTATATATATTTGCCAAAAAGGATTTGAGGATAGTGATAGGGAGTGTGAAGTAGTTGAGATTGTCGAACGCAGCACTTATCTTGAGAGTCTCATCAGTGCTGATTACCTGGTGGTCCTACGAAATCTCAGTTCGGATACAGAAGGCTAGATTGGATTTTCCCAACTTGTATCATCCATAGAGTAGGCGACATATTCGGCTAACAAACAAAGAACGGGTTTACTTACAAAGCAGTTCTCTCCATCCAACTTTATGGGTGTGAAATATAGCCAGTAGAGGATATTCACAGGTTACTAGTATTTGGTCGTCATCGGTGTCTCGGATACATTGCTCTTATATCCTGGAATAATCGAGTGAGCCATCCCATTGGTTAGGAAACGAGTACTAGGTAAGGATAGTAGATCCATGAAGTCACTGACAACTGGACTGAGTCATGTTGGTGAATGTAGACTACCTGGTTGAGATCTGCGAGATGATTGTACCTAAATAATTGAGACCTTGAATGACATGACTCAAAATCGTTTGCAATGGCGCAGGTGCATCCATTCATTCACCTTTATAATTTTTTAAAGTTTCTTTCACTAGATTATACTTCTTGAATAATATCATTTAACCCTAATCTCTAAGACTACTGCTAACACTTCTACTAACTTTACCACTAAGGGATTTCAACTGACAGTCGCGTCTCTGTACTAATGTGGCATGGCAATTTAAACTGATGTATATATACGTTGTTGCTGACTGATTGACAGGTCTCTAAGAACAACATTAATCCTATTTCCTTTTAAGGTTCCTCAAGAAATACTCTTCCACGACGTGGGCAGCCAGGAAGTGACATCCGCCCCCATACTCGTAACAACACACGAGACCAAACTATCCCCCCAACGAAACTAGTCCCTAGTGAGCATATGATAAACGACAGTGTGAAAATTGTGAAAATACAATTGAATTCGATTGAAATCATGAATAACTGATCATTGTATTTGATTCAGATCATATATATCAATAGTTGATAGTTATGTACATAAAAATGTTTTGAGTATATATTTGCTCCTAGATGTACCTTTATCCTCGTCCGACTTTTCAGGAGTCGACTTTCTACCAGGATAATCGCTTACTGACTTAGAATGTGCCGATGACATAGTTCTATTCGGTAAAGACGCTGACAAAATGCAGAGTCTTCTGACTACCCTAAGCAACAATGCAAGCATGTTCAGAATGCGGCTCCCCCCACCCTAGAAATGGAAAAATGTTGCTTCAAGATTGGGTTGTATCGGCATCTGAACTAGTGATAGGGAGTGAAGTAGTCGAGCGTGTATACCGCTTCACTTATCTGGGGACTGTCATCAGTGCTGATGGCCTGGTGACTGGGGAAATCTCTGCACGGATACAGAAGGCTCGATTTGCTTTTGCAAACCTGCGTCACTTAACCAGATCACATTGCCATCAGCCACCGATGGAGGGGTTTGATAGGAGACTGTCGCTTGTTGTGGGGCACATGTTTAGATTCAGATCATGCCCTAGTGCGAGCGCGTATTTGTTGGCCTCAATAATACTTCGGCGCCTAACGAAAGCTCATGAAGAGAAAACTAGAGAAAACCAGTCTGGTTTTCGACCTGGACGGGGTTGTATAGACCACATCTTCACACTAAAACAGGTCCTGGAACATAGACACACATTTAGGCGTCCTACAATAGTTGTTTTCCTGGACCTGTAAGCGGCATTTGACTCTGTGGATCGTGAGGTTCTGTGGCAGTGTCTGTCATTGAAAGGTGTACCAAAGAAGTACATTAACCTTATACAAGCTCTCTACTCGAACACTAATGATCGAGTGAGAGCTTACGGCGAACTGACAACGGAATTTTTTACTTCAAGTGGTGTCCGTCAGGGAAGTCCACTTTCTCCATTCTTGTTTAATTTTATCATAGACATGCTCCTAGAAATAACCTTATACTCGTCTGAATTTTCAGGAGTAGACTTTTTACCTGCTGGCTCGCTAATAGACTTAGAATATGCCGATGACATAGTCCTACTTGATGAAGACGCTGAATAAATACACAGCCCTCTGACTACCCTAAGCAACAATGCGAGCATGTTCAGGATGCGGTTTTCTCCCTCGAAATGCAAAATGTTGCTTCAAGATTGGGTTGCATCGTCGCCTGAACTAGTGATAAAGAGTGAAGTAGTCGAGCGTGTAGACCGCTTCATTTATCTTGGGAGTCTCATCAGTGCTGATGGCCTGGTGACTGACGAAAACTCAGTGAGGATACGGAAGGCTCGATTGGCTTTTGCCAACCTGCGTCACCTATGGCGAAGGCGAGATATCCGTTTGCTGACTAAAGGACGAGTGTAATGTGCAGTGGTTCGCTCCGTCTTACTTTATGGCTGTGAAACATGGCCAATGAGAGTAGAAGATATTCGTAGGTTATTGGTTTTCGATCATAGGTGTATCCGAAGCTTTGCTCGTATATCCTGGGACACCCGAGTAAGCAACGCTGTTATTAGGAATCGGGTGCTAGGTAAGAATGGCAGATCAATAGACGCAGCAGTGGCACTTCATCAGTTGAGGTGGTTGGGACATGTCTTGCGTATGCCTAACCACCGACTGCCTCGTCGAGCTTTGTTTTGTAGTGTAGGAGTAGGTTGGAAGAAAGTTAGGGGCGGCCAAACCAAAACATGGCACAAATCCATGAAGTCATTGACAAGTGGACTTAGCCATGTCGGTAATTGTCAACTACCTGGTTGGGGTCCACGAGATGATAATAATCGATGGTTAGAGACTTTGAATGACATGGCTCAAAATCGTTTGCAATGGCACCGGTGCATTAATTCTTTGAGTTCTCTCAAATTCTAACCTTCTGAATTCCTTATAATCGCTACCTTTCTCCTTCTAAATTTATCTTACTGAATTATACTTCTCGAATCGTGTATCTTCACTCCTTAGTGCTAATAATTCTCTACTATCGCAATTACTCTTAGATATGAACTGACAGTTGCGTCTCTGTGTGCTAATTTGGTATGGCAAGCTGAACTGATGAAAGTACGTACGAAGTTCTTCGTTGTATCTGTTTGTCTTTCTATCTGTCTATCTTTCAATATATTCTTCGTTTAAATCTACTATTAAAAAAAAAATTAAATTGTACAAAAATAAAAAACAAGCAGAAATTGCGGTTAACAATGTGATTGTACTTACTAGAATTATAAGATGATGCATCAATGTCAAAAATCAGTCGACGGATTGTTTGTTCATCATAAGAACACACTTTCAACAACCGATGAATTCTTAAACCTGAAATGATAATGTAACAAGTAAAGATGCCTAATGGGTAAAACAGTGGAATTCGGGACATGTGTGTTTGATTTTATTAGGGACTACTAGTCTGTAGTTTGGGAGGAGGGGTGTACCCCTACAAGTCAGTTGTCAGTCAGTTGCAACGTCAGAACTTCGTACGTATGTACATAAGTTCATGTTGCCATACCACCACATTAGCACACAGAGACGCAAAGGTCAAATCAAATCCCATAGTGATAAAGATAGTAGAGGTATTAATGTTATAATAAAGAAGACTAGGGTTCGAAGATATTATTCAAGAAGTATAATTCAGTGAGATAAGGTTAGGAAGACAAAGGTAGAGGTGCTGACGAATCCAGAAGATTAGGATTTCAGAGAGCTCAAAGAGTGGATGCACCTGCGCCATTGCAAACAATTTTGAGCCATGTCATTCAAGGTCTCTAACCATTGATGACTTTCGTCTCTCGGACCCCAACCAGGTAGTCTACATCTACCAACATGACTCAGTCCACTTGTCAGTGACTTCATGGATTTGTGCCATGTTTTGGTCTGGCCGCCACTAACTTTCTTCCAACCTATTCCTACACCACAAAACATAGCTCGTCGAGGCAGTCGGTGGTTAGGCATACGTAGCACATATCCCAACCACCTCAATTGATGAAGTTTCACCACTTCATCTATTGATCTGCCATCCTTACATAGTACTCGTTTCCTAACGACAAGATATCAGAGTTTAAGTTTACTCAGAGAATTGAAGCCACAGTACCAAATGATTCAAATATCATTGTATTAGCCACTTAACTAATGAGTCTAGATCTGTCTATTGGAAATACTCCAATAACCGATAAGAATGAATGAACATTTACTCTTATAGTACAGGCTAATGACTATCTGAACTCAGTGATTAAGTGGATAACACACGAAGGTGTCGAAGGTATCGAATGATAATGAGTTCGAGTCTTGCAGTGAAGAAGTCAACTCTACAATTCAGGTAGATCATCCAGCTACAGACGAGTCACAAATACGGAGAAATGTGCTTCATCAAGTTTATCTCAACATCGGTCTCACCTAATTAATGTATTTAAATGTGCGGCGAAAGGAAGCTGTCATTTGTCAGTAAGCGAAAATAGACACACATAGTTAGTTGCACGTTTGTGTTTCATTCCTATTTTACTTGCTAATTTATTTGTAATGTGCTAGCCCATTATCAATGATACAATGACAGGATAGGCTACTCCAATTCGAGCGCCCCAAAGCCCCACTAAGTAGAGGAAGAAGTCTTGATAAGGCGTAGAAAGTGTATTATTCTACTACAAGCACCCAGAAGATATGAGGGTGACAAGCACACAAATCCAGTTTATTTATACATGATAGAGATCTGCTTGGAAGAGCCATAAAAATAGCATACTAAAATAATTCATCAATCAATGATAATCAAGGATATTTCAAGTGAGAAATGTAATCTAAAGGTCAATTGAGCAGCTTATGCGCGAAAACATGAAAATTCCAAAATTAGGACATTTTTCGAAGCGCCCAATTTAATGATCATTATTAATTATAGTCGGAAAAGGAAGAAGATTTCAAAAATGAACTCATTCACAGAAAAAAAAAATATCTTCGAACCTATTACTGCTGACGTAAATCAATTACTATTTCACACTACACAATAAGTGTACGATTGTCTGGAATGACAGTTGAATTGATCTGAATAATGCATCCAAAGTCTAATTGATTCAAAAGACTGTCTTGGTTACGCGCGAATATATATAGATATAATATAAATGTAGTTCTACAATCAATCGTAATTAATAAAACTCAAGCTTACATTTAGGGTGATGAGATAACAAAAGTCAATCTTAAAAATGACGAGTTCAAAATGGCTGTCCACGCAAAGTCTGTTTCAATCAACAAGAACTCAAACAACGAGATATAAGAGAAAGAAAAGGGACAACCTGTGAATACTACTAATAAGTGATAATATAGTCATAAATGAGGATTTCATTAGAAAGCCAGTTGACAATTCGAAGCTGACGTCCATCAACACCATCGCTAAGCAATTAATTTTACTGATTAATTATTTACTACTGAATTTAATTATAAGTAGCATCATTAAAAAATTTAAATAAATGATAACGTACTGATGTGATCAACAAACGGATGATTAACTGTACATAATTGTAATTGACTAATTGGTGCACCTTCGGGTTTTAATGATCTACACAACGAAATTTTGCGACAGATGAAAAAAAGAAAATAAATTCAAAATATAATAAAAATGCTTGAATGATTTGTCTATGGGTTAGGGTCCAAACAAATTGAAGAATCCCTAATCGACGGCCTATAATACTTCAATTAGGGGTAACATGCACACTTGTGTGGTCAAAAATAAGAGTTAGACAAAAATTTAGATAGTTATGAAATAAAGTAATCCAGACAAGATTATTAGTAATAGAAAATAATATGAACTGAAAAATCAGTCAATTAGAATTAAAACTGTTTCGTCCTGGTATGGGATTCAACAGCAGTGCGCATCCGCGGCTCCTTCAACTGACCGGATTCGAATCCAGGGAGCTGAAGGGGTCGTGGATGCACACTGCCACTGATGAGCCCCTAACCAGGACGAAACATCCGTCTTCCCAGTGCTTCAGGTTTCTACTGGGAGTCTAGTATTGGTCGATTCATGATTTCACGATGTAGTTATAACTATCTCCACAACCCAGGCGTCAGCCTGGGGATCGCACAGCTCAATGCTTTTGAGCAACCTTTTCAGAATATGTTCTTTGAATTGGACGTTGGGTCAATCTTTTAGTTCCATCAATGCTACTGCTTAGCCAGCAAGAGAAGACGACCAGTGTAGTAGCAGCCTCACCAGCAGCAGATCTCAACATATATGAAGGGAAAAGCAACACCACATGCACCACCAACCAAATCACTCTTGATGGAGATGCGTTGGAGGACGTTAACACCTTTACATAACTGAGCAGCATCATCGACAACCAAGGTGGATCTAATGCTGATGAGAAGGCGCATATCAATCAGCAAAGCATGAACGGCATTTCTAAGATCGAACAACATCTGGAACTCGAAACAACTATCAACCAACACCAAAGTTAGAATTATCAACACAGTTCTACTGTATGGGGCGGAAAATTTGGAGAACCACGAAAGCTATCATCAATAAGATACAAGTGTTTGTTAAAAGTTGTCTGCGCAGAATACTTCGGATTCACTGATCATACAGTAATCAGTAATAACCTACTGTTATAGAGAGAACAAACCAGATTGCATTGGAAGAGGAAATCATGTAGGAGCGCTGGAACTGGGTAGGATACATATAGAGGAAAGCAACCAACTGCATTACAGGACGAGACCTCACATGGAATCCTCAAGGGCAGAGTAAAAAAAAGGGAGGACCAAGGAATACATTAGGCCGAGAAATGGAGACAGACATAAGAGGAATGAACAACGACTGGCTGGAACTAGAAAGTAAATTGGAAAATTCTGGTCAGCCGGGGGGGGGGTAACAGGCGTAAGAAAGTAATCTCTATTTGTTTTGTTCACTTTAATGTAGTAGTCGGGTTAATGATCAGACAGATTGTTCATTGTACATATATATGTAAATGTATATAAAGAGAGAATAGGACCGACTTACTTCCATGATGGTTTCTCAGTGATTGTATGACTAGGTAGTGACGGCCAAGTTGTAGCGAAATTAAACGATCTATTTAACCACAGAGAGAAAGAGAGAGAAAGGTGAGAACAGCAAAATTGTAAATACATTTCATGAAAAATCAATAATTTTTTACTTCGTACATTAACATCATCTTTTACTTCGTACTCCCCTCCCTGTCTGTCAGAGATATCCGTTTGCTGACTAAAGGACGAGTGTACTGTGCAGTAGTTCGCTCCGTCTTACTTTATGGCTGTGAAACATGGCCAGTGAGAGTAGAAGATATTCGTCGGTTATTGGTTTTCGATCATAGATGTCTTCGAAGCATTGCTCGTATATCCTGGGACAACCGAGTGAGCAACGCTGTTATTAGGAATCGGGTGCTAGGTAAGAATGGCATATCAACAGACGCAGCAGTGGCACTTCATGAGTTGAGGTGGTTGGGACATGTTTTGCGTATGCCCAACCACCGACTGCCTCGTCGAGCTTTGTTTTGTAGTGTAGGAGTAGGTTGCAAGAAAGTTAGGGGCGGCCAAATCAAAAACATGGCACAAATCCATGAAGTCATTGACGAGTGGACATAGCCATGTCGGTAATTGTCGACTACCTGGTTGGGGTCCGCGAGATGATAATAATCGATGGTTAGAGACTTTGAATGACATGGCTCAAAATCGTTCGCAATGGCGCCGGTGCATTTATTCTCTGTGTTCCCTCAAATCCTAATCTTCTGGATTCTTCAACACCCCTTGTTTTGACTTTCTAAACTTTTCTCATTTAATCATACTTCTTGAATAATATCTTCTAATCCTAACCTCTCCGATTACTTCTAATACCTTTACTACCTCTTCTACTGTTGAATTTGAATTGACAATTATATCTGTGTGCTGATGTGGTATGGCAACATGAACTGATGTACTTACGTACCAAGTTCTACGTTGCATCTTACTGACTGACTAACTTACTCTGTCTGTCAGATCTACCATGATTCAAGTGTAAGGGGTCACTCACTGTATGATTCCATGTTCGAGTTAGATACCGACCGATAAAATAATTCACATAACGAGAAGATTTAGAATGAGATAGTATCGCTAATGATAAAGATTTACGGAAGCTATAACTAGGAGTTTCTGCATATCAAATAGCTTCAAATGGATGTGAAACATAGTTCATCAAGTATTTGGAAAGAAAAGATGAGATTTAGCCTCCTGTTTCTCAAACGGTTGAGTCGAAGTTTATTACATCTGAATTTATAATCTAACATACAATCAATTCCAGGAGTGCGTAGTGTAAAGTTTCTGTGAACGAATTTCGGCCTTAATTTATCATGTATGCTAATACTACTAAGAATAAACCTGTAGAATTCTACAAATGGTTGAACATCATTTGTACCTAATTGATTGTCATAGAGATTGCGAATTATGCGACACAGAAGACGTTGAAACTTGGAGGTCTATTTAGATACATGTGCTGAGTAGGACAAGTTATAGAAGTACATAGAATTCTAAGTCCACTATTGTATTCAATTTTGATAACATCTAACCATATATGGTAAGGTGTAAGTTGAGTAAAGGATTACTGAAAAAGATTTGACAGTGTTAAACTCCAACTTCTAATTGGAGCACCACTGAGCTTTATATACTCATACAGTTTTATATATTGCTCAGCGGAGCAGGGAAGAATAAGTACACTATACTCTAAGATCATCTGCGACTATGTCATTCAAAGTCTCTAACCATCGATTATTATCATCTCGCGGACCCCAACCAGGTAGTCGACAATTACCGACATGGCTAAGTCCACTTGTCAATGACTTCATGGATTTCTGCCATGTTTTGGTCTGGACGCCCCTAACGTTCTTCCAACCTACTCCTTCACTCTAAAACAAAGGTCTTCGAGGCAGTCGGTGGTTAGGCATACGCAACACATGTCCCAACCACCTCAACTGATGAAGTTTCACTACTGCGTCTATTGATCTGCCATTCTTACCTAGTACCCGTTTCATAATAACAGCGTTGCTCACTCGGTTGTTCAAAATCGTTCGCAACGGCGCCGGTGCATTTATTCTCTGTGTTCCCTCAAATCCTAATCTTCTGGATTCTTCAACACCCCTTGTTTTGACTTTCTAAACTTTTCTCATTTAATCATACTTCTTGAATAATATCTTCTAATCCTAACCTCTCCGATTACTTCTAATACCTTTACTACCTCTTCTACTGTTGGATTTGAATTGACAATTATATCTGTGTGCTGATGTGGTATGGCAACATGAACTGATGTACTTACGTACCAAGTTCTACGTTGCATCTGACTGACTGAATGAATATGGCTCAGTTCATTTTTCAGGGACTTCATGCATTTGTGCCATTTCTTCTTGGTTTAGCCACTCTTTTGCTTTCTCTCAGCCTACTCCTACATCAAACAACATTGATCGTCGAGGTTGTTCAAGGTTTTGTATACGTAACACATATCTAAAGTACCTCAACATATATTAAAACCTACTACTTCATTAATTGATCTGCCGTCCCTAATTGGTGGTACCCTTTTGCTAATAACAACAGCATTTCTTACTCAATGGTCCCAGGATATACATGAGCAATGGAAAAAATTTGTTAGTAACGAACTTTCTAACGATTTACTCGTTGGGAAACTTAACACTTTTTTTTCCGAACATGATTTTCTAATAAATTAATCTTGTATGCCATATGGGCTTTGACTTTTTCAATTTAGTCGATTACTTCACTTAATCAAGAACACCTGGGTCCTAATGTTGTTACTTTGAAATTTTGAAAGCTTTGAACATGGGGTTAACCATCAGCTTGTAAAATTAGAGGTGCCATCTGCTAACTTGGTTTAGTTTTCTTCTTCAATTGCAGACATCAAATAATCAAAATAAACTCCCTCTTAGTTCGAGGCTGTCTCGTGTGCTGTTACGGATATGAGGGCGGTTGTCACTTCACGGCTGCCCACACCGTCGAAGGTTGTTTCTTGAAGAACCTGAAAAGGAAGATAGATTAGTGTTGGTCTTAGAGACCTGGTTGCGTGACCACAGAGCCCAAGGGACAACTGCTTGAGGCCGGTCACGCACAGCCTTTTTAACAAACGTTTTTTGAGGATTGGCTCCGTTCCTAAAGGCCCTTAGTGGGCACCCTTGCCCGAGAAGACAGAAATCCGTGAGGTAGGTTGAAGTGTGACATTTTGAGGGTCGACCTTTTCTAACCCTTCCCTCCTTTATTGTGAGAAGGCAGCATCGCTGCAGATACTGGTTGTCCGAGGGAAGCATCTTACTGCTGTCACACCCCTCTGCAGTCAGCAGTACGACTTCACCCTCAGACCTTGGGTAGCTGCTTTTAGTCTCATCGTTTTCCAATCGACCAGCCTGGCATGGTAGGACCTGCAGGAACATATGTTGCAGCCAGTATTGCCCAGTTGGGTCATCACGATAGTCAAGCCCGACCACTACGTCAAGGTAGTAGCTACGGTCGGGTAAAGCAACATAATTGAAATCTCCAAGCAGCTTAAACGCTACAGTACAACATACTCATCATTAAAATGTAAAATCTTATCGGTCCGAGTTCATTTCAACATTCAATGTTAGATACACAAAACATGAGATAAACACAATAAATTTACTACAGACTTACAAATTCAATGCAGCTCTTTGACATAAATCAAATGAAAATATTGATGAGTTGGTAATCGGATATGCTGCTGTATAAATTTTTTTTTTAAATCAAAATAATACAAAAAAAGAATAGAAATAACACAAAGTTAAGCTGTGTGTTTTAGTTAATACATCGTATGTCATTGAAAGCATGAATCGACTAATGCTAAAACATTTGACGCATTGAAATCATTAGAAACTGAAGACTACTGAAAAACAGCCGTTTCTTACTGTACTGCCTTGTAGGGGACCTACTTATCAGTGGAAGTGCATATCCACGACTCCTGATACTCGCAGGATTCGAACTAAGGACCTAAGGTCTTTTGCGCGAACGCTTAACCTATTGGCCAGTGAGTCGACTGGCATCCAACGTTGGTAATTTCTAACTCTAATCAGGCTAAGAATTTTGTGATAACTCATAAATTATCTCTGGTAGTTACTGCCTATACCCGGAAGGGTTGAACTCCACTGGTCACAACATTGAAAACCGGAAAGCAGTGGACGGCCATTTCGTCCTAATATGGAACTCATCATCAGTGAGAATCCAGAAAACCACGATATCAATCAAAGAATTCCTGTTTGGGCAGGAAAAAAAATGACCAGATACCGCTAGATGGATCTTCAATTTTAAACCAACACGGTTACCTGTTCGGGACATTCGATTTTTTTATCCTTTCAACTTGGTAACAACACAACACAACACTTGCACTCTACGAGATGTTAGTGAGTAGTGCACTTATCAATCATCGTACAATAACAACTAATATGGGAGATAGTCACACGCGAACATATATTAATAATGATGATGGCAATGTAATGTAGTTCATCTAGTTTATATTGAAATGTAATCACTGACTCTGGGTTGATTCTAGTTAAAAATATATAAACTACTTAATTAGTAATAAGTAGTTTTATAATTTTCATTAAGAATAACATCATTTTCAACATACTTCGTAATGATGACCATGATGGTAGATGATAGATGAATCGAGCTGAAATATCTAATTTCGGAATAGGATAATTCACATCCCAATAGCCCTGTGTACAATAAAACAAAAAACACAAAAACAAAACATCTAAAAATCAGTTCATTGAAATCATGAACTGATCAACGCGCTAGACCACATCATTAGAAGAAACATGGAAACACTACAGTTTCATCCTAGTATATGACTTATCAGCAGTGCATATCCATGGCCCGCACTTGCGGAAATCGAACTCAAGACCTTCGGTTTCGCGCACAAACGCTTAGCCTCTAACTTCTAGAGATCAGAAGTTTGACGGCGAGATCTAAGGTTCTCGGTTCGATTTCCATGTGCAGAGTCGTAGATGAGCACTGCTGATGAGTCCCATAGTACGACGAAAAGGTTGTCCAACGCTTCAAGGTTCCTAATAGTAGTCTAACACTGATAGATTCATGATTTCACTGAAACTCAACAACGTCAACAACGCTTTAATGAATAATAGCGGAACTAAGATGATAAGTTGTGAAGTACATTTATCATATAGGGTGGAGAACATTTGTAGCTCATGTGGACGATTCTGAGCGGAGTGTCGTTCTGTGAGCTGGATGTTTTGATTGTGGAGTTTTCATTGTTCTTCTTCTGAACAACATCATCAGCACAAACTTCAGATAGCAGAAGTGAAGTATTCGAATTTCTTCACGTTTGACCCGTAGCCAGTTCTCTTAACCTCGATCTTGATTGGTTGTCATTAGCTTTAAACCTGTCGTTGTCTGCACATTTGTTTTGATTCTATCCCCCTTTTGATCTGTTTCTTGATCCTATGTGACCTATGATTTTTCTGATTAGTTGATAAATTGGGTCAATATCGATGTGTTTGTTGATTGCTGATTGACCTAAGTGCCAAGCTTTTAAAAATTCTCTAGTGTTCTTTGTCCTCCCCCTATCCAGTATTTCAACATTGTTCCAATCGAACGTATGTCCATAATTGTCCTTGTGTATTGATGTAAGCCAAATGATAAGCATAGATGGATAATGGCTAGCGGTGGAATCTAGGATGTGCATATCATCCTATTTTGGACTAGTCTGTAGCTGGTTGTAACAGCTACATCTCAGAGTTGATGTTCACTGTAGAACTTGAACCGAAAATCGTTTGACTAAAACACTACTGCATTATCCATTTAGCTACTGAGTTCAAACTGATCAACTGCAGTCCTCATTCTTTGTGTTCTCTCAAATTCTAATCTTCTGGATTCTTGATGACATTTTTTCTCTTGTTCAAAATGTATTTCACTGGATTATACTTCTCGAATCATATTTCCAATCCCTAATCTTTCCTTATCGATTAGTCTACCTACTTGAGCATTAAAGTCAGAGCGCCTAACTATTTGGAGCAGGTTACAAAGATTCCCGTAAAACTCATCTTTTATGTCGTTTGAACTGCAGTCAGTAGGAGCGTATGTAGGGACAACGAAGAGGCAACAGCGAGATAACCTAACTTTCCGAGTTCAAACTGTCCCGTTTAGTCGGATAGCGCACTAGCGACTATCGAATGAGATCCAGTCCAAGAGAGATAATTCTGCTTTGGAACTTAATGCTATACCTACACCACATGAAGAAGGAATAGGGCTTCCAGATACACGAAGCGTAAATTGAGACGGTTCTTTATCTACATAAGGTGATATGAAATTAATGATTTTACTAGGACACAGTATATGTGTTTCGGAGAAGGTACACACATCGATGGCGCGAGATTCTAAAATCCTAGCTGAGAAAGCCTGTTGCCTTATTTGACACAATGTCCGGACATTAAAAGCTTCAACATGCAGTTTAGGACAGGGTTTCAGGAGACCAAGTATAACGTTTCATGGACTCAAAACATTTGCATTAGCGGTGCAGGGTGATAAAGGAATATGAGAAGGGTGAGTCGTGGAGATAAGACAGATGTTAAGGGTTGTAGGAAGGATTTCTTTGTGACTAATTTGGTCGCTTATATTGTTACGCGTATGATGACAGATGTCTTTTCCCGGCTTCCCACACCGTGAAAGGTTGTTACTTAAGAAACCTGAAAAGGAAGCTTAGATTAGCGTTGGTCGTAGATCCCTGGGAGCGTGATCACATAGCCCAAATGACAACTGCTTGAGGTCGATCACTCACAGCCTTTTAATGGGAAGTTTGTAAAGTGTTAGCTCCGCTCTTGTTTAAAAAGCCTTACTGGTGGAGATGGAAATCCGTGAGGTGTAGGGTAAGGTGTGACATTTTTAGGGTTAACCTTGTCTAACCCCCTTCCTTCCTTGTGAGAAAACAGTCGCATCGCTGCATATGTTAGTTGTTGGAAGCAAACACTTTACTAATGTCACTCTCCTCCTACTGTCACAGAAGTATGACTTCGCTCTCAGATCTTAAGTTGCTACTTTTAGTCTCATCGTTCTTCAATCGACCTACCTGCCAATCGACCAGACAAATAATAGCTCGGTCGGGTCATCAACGATAGGCAAGCCCGACCACCACATGTCAAGGTAACAGTAGCTAAGGTTTGAGGGGATGTAGGAATTAGATAACAAAATGAAATACTTTTTTTCGAAATGATTCAAAAAATGCATTCATCAAAAATAAAAATAAACTTTAATCATATTTACCAATTTTGTAAGAAATATTTCTTTTAATCCATTCAAATGTGTACAATTGGCTAAGATTTTACCTTGAATAAGACAACTGGTAAAATCAATATTTACTGAACCAATCCAATTTGAGTTGGATGATGTCAATGCATTGGTGAAAGGGTTGTTGTTAGTGTAATGAAAATATTTGTTGGTATCATTATTCATTGGTTGAAGACATGATGATGCAGTCAAACCAAAATATGAAGGTCCATGATATTCCACTAATACTGGTATAGAACTATATATATAACAAATACCCCCCCCCCCGAAAAAAAATAGATATCGATTAATAGTAGGAGAATAAAAAACAGGGCCGTTATTTGATAGGATTGATTACAAAGAGTAGTACCTACCTATACACCTAGGACATTTCCTGTAGATGATTGATTTATTATTTCTATGTGACACCCAATCGTAGCTGCTGTTACCTTGACTTTGGTGGTTGGGCTTGCCTACCGTGGTGACCTAACCGAGCTTTATTGGCTGGAACATATGTTCCTGAAGGTTATACCATGCCAGGCAGTTCGATTAGAGAACATTAAGACTAAAAAGCAGCTACTCAAGGTCTTAGGATAAAGTCGTACTGCAGTAAGGTGTTTTTCCACTCGAATAATTAGCATCTGCAGCGATGCTACTGTCTTCTCACAAGGTAGATAGGGGGTTAGAAAATGAGCACTTACTTTGACCTACAGGAGCAGCAACTTCAGGAGATTCAGTCAAATGGTAGTCGGCGGCCGACAAATGGGTTTATACAGTATTCGTCCCATTAGAACCCTGGAGACTATGTACACCATTGGTTCAGAATGAGGGTTTTCCTACTTCCTCAGATAGATCCTTTGTACCCACGAACCTGGTTTAAAACCTGGCCGGACATTCACTTATCGTCCTCGCAATTTTGTAAAAAACACAAATGACAGGAGAGGGCAGTGAGTAGAAATTGGCTGTGTATGACAATATACACGTAGCAGCCATATGAGGGCATTTTGAGAGAGAGCGCGGACTCTCCTCACTGTCTGCCGTACCAGAGCATTCGGAGGTAAAGTAAAATGCAATTGAATATTCAGTGTGCATAAAAAGGCACTTAGTCTACTGGCTATTAAATATATGTGAGTACCTTTTCTGTGACCGATTTCTACTCAATACTCAGTGAGTACAGACTTCTTGTAATTGAGTACTGTTCATCGCTTCCTCTGATTCTCTATTTTGGTCCTGCATCGCGTATCTGATATAATATGATCTAGTCTCTGTGTAGTGAATATCCAATGATACTATCCGGAGGTACTATGAACTCAGTCGCCCATTTTTCTAAAATATCATTACCGAATTAAGTCACAGGAGGTAAGCAACTTCAAAACTTCCATCGTAACAAAATTATATAAGCGTTCCAAATGTAAAAGTGGATTTGGTGAATTTCTATCTATTCAGGATGTTTGTAGTTTGTTACGAAAATTATCTCTCTTTACAAACAAATTACTATTTAACAGACTAGTTCAAAGAGTCAGTCAGCCTACAATATAGAACTTCGTTTGTACGTGCTTATATCAATTCAGGTTGTCATACCATATTAGCATACAGAAAGATGCAATTGTCAATTCAAATCCTATAGTAGTAGAAGTATTAACGGTAATGTAGAAGATTAAGGTTTGATGATTTTACAATTCGAGGAGTATAATGCAGTGAAATAAATTTGAGAAGAGAAAGATGTAGGTCATGAGGATTTCAGAAAATTAGGACTTGAGAGGAGACAAAGTGTGGACGCACCTGTGTACCATTGTAAACGATTTTGAGTCATATCATTCAAGATCTCTAACCATCGGTTACTAGTGTCTCGTGGAGCCTATAACCTAGTAGTGTTGTGCACGAAAACTCAGGTGAGGACATTAACATCTATATATTTAAGCGAATATTACAGAGTTGTTAGGCATATTTACAAAACCTTCTCGTGAAATCATCATTTGCAAACTAATCCTTATGCGTTTCAGATTCCAGTGTTATTTCATTTAGACTGTTCAGACTTCAGTTCACTTTACGTTATAACCTACAAATCGCCTTCTGTTCTCATTCTTTCCTTCTTGATCTTTTGCTGTCAGACGTTTGATTTCCATTTGATATCATATACTACTTATGTGAACATAAGTAGCGTACACCGCAGCAGTAGTCTCCACCTATTATTATGGCTCAGTCCACTTGTCAGTGAACAGCATACGAGACTAAATTAGTCAGTAAATTCAAATAAATACCGGAATAATCAAAAGTATTTGTAGCCAAAATGAATGTATCAATGGCTACATGGGATGAAAATTTCATGTCTTGCCAACATCAATGTTATTCTGTGAAAGAAACTGGTATGACCTGATACTTGAATAACTGATAATTATTACAATATGGGGTTGTGAAGATTGTTAAGTTACACATTTTGAAACCATGAATCGATCAATGTTAGACCGCCATTAGAAGAAACCTGGAAGCACTGAAAGACAGTCGTTTCGTCCTGATCTGGGACTCATCAACAGTGAGCATCCGACTCCTGCAGCCCACAGGATTCGAACCCAGGACCTTCGGTCTTGTGCATGAACGCCTAACCTCTGGACCACTGAGCCGGTATCTAACGGTATTAATGTCAAAATTCCATCAATTCACGTTGAAGTTCAACCTGTTCAGGTGTAGACAGTAACTACCGAAGACTGTGTATACGGTTATGCAACCCCGTGAATTGATCAAGTTAGATATTAACACCGTTAGATACCAGCTCAGTAGTCCAGAGGTTAGGCGTTCGTGCACAAGACCTGAGGTCCAGGGTTCGAATCCTGCGATTAGCAGGAGTCGTGGATGCGCATTGCAGATGAGTCCCATACCAGGACGAAACAGACGTCTTCCAATGCTCCCAGGTTTCTAATGGTGGTCTAACATTGATCGATTCATGGTTTTAGAATGATAATTATCCAGTAAATAAAAATCACACAAACTCATGTATTATTGATGTCATAGTAATTCGTAGCAGAAGGATAAACTCCGCCTAGAGCCCTTCCAGGGTCACTGCCGGTCCCAAGCCTGAATAAAGGAGGAAGGTTGGGTATGGAGTTAGAGTGACACTATCCCGTAGAAAAAACCAAACTCGCTAGGGAAAAAACGCTGATTTGCTGGTCGGCGGCTTGTGCTCCATTTGGGATAGCAATCGTAGGTAAGTCACTCAGTAAGTAACTATAAGAATAATAGTAAAAAGATATATATACATAATTTACACTTACCATCGTGTTGCATAAACAGCCATTTCAATTGAACTAAGCAATAAACTAAGTCGTGTTCCACCTTGAATTTCACCATGATCAGGTTTTAAAATAAATGCATGCGATAGACCAAACCTAAATATTGTCAAAATAAAACAAAGATAAGAAATTTAATTTTGCATTAGAGTATGATGGCAATGGTAGTTTTACGTTGAAATCACAATGTGGTGACCAATTATCTGCGTGTTCTAAAGCTCGGTAATTACCTCGTTCAGATAATCGTTATTAAATGGCGTTTGACGATTAATAAATCAGAAGGTAAACTCGAAGTGTTGAATACGTTTATTTTTGGCACACCACAAATACGGATGGCAGAAGACCACAAGCAGACACTGAACAGACACACTAGCGAGTGAATGTGCGAATGGGCGAATGAATTAATAAGATTAAAATGTTCGTATATATACAAAGGAAGATACTGAACTGGTGATACGGAGTGAAGTAGTTGAACGTGTAGACCGCTTCACTTATCTGGGGAGTCTCATCAGCGCTGATAGCCTGGTGACTGACGAAATCTCATCTCGGATACAGAAGGTTCGATTGGCTTTTGCCAACCTGCGTCACTTATGGCGTACTCGAGATATCCGTTCGCTGACCAGAGAACGAGTGTACTGCGCAGCAGTTCCCTCCGTTCTGCTATATGGATGCGAAACATGGCCGATAAGAGTAGATGTTTGTAGGTTACTAGTATTCGATCATAAATGTTTAAGAAGCATTGCTCGTATATCGTGGGACAACCGAGTAAGCAATGCTGTAGTTAGGAAACGGGTGCTAGGTAAGGATGGTAGATCAATAGATGAAGTAATGAAACTTCATCAGTTGAGGTGGTTGGGACATGAGTTACGAATGCCTAACCACCGACTGCCGCGACGAGCTGTTTTGTGGAGTAGGAATAATTTGGAAGAAAGTTAGGGGCGGTCAGACCAAAACATGGCACAAATCCATGAAGTCACTGACAAGTGGACTGAGTCATGTTGGTAGATGTAGACTACCTGGTTGGGGTCCGCGAGACGATAGTCACCAATGGTTAGAGACCTTGAACGACATGGCTCAAAATCGTTTGCAATGGCGCAAGTGCATCCATTTGTTGAGCTCTCTCAAATCCTAATCTTCTGGATTCGTCAGCACCTCTACCTTTGTCTTCCTAACCTTATCTCACTGAATTATACTTCTTGAATAATATCTTCAAATCCTAGTCTTCTTCATTACCATTAATACCTCTATTATCTTCATCACTATGGGATTTGATATCACATTTAGGTCCCTGTGCTAATGTGGTATGGCAACATGAACTTATGTACATACGTACGAAGTTCTACGTTGCAACTGACTGACTAAGGAAGATATCTGAGTCAACGTG